AAAATAACGTACATATGAGGAACCAACATTTAATTTCTTACATCAACCCACACCTTAATGAACAGACAAAACTCAACTCCCCAATTCAGTTAGCTGATATGTACAGAGTCTTATCAAAATGTAATAGTCTTGCCCCAGGACCAGATGGGATTCCTTATACATTTATCCACAACCTCCCTATGACCACCTTAAATTCAACTATTCAAGTGTACAACAAAATATGGTCATCCAGACACATACCACGAAATTGGAAGCACTCCATAATCATTCCAATTCTCAAACCGGAAAAAACAAATTCGAAACTAAATCATACAGACCAATATCCCTCTTGAATACCATGGCAAAGATATTGGAAAAAATTATAGATTCCAGACTTAATCGGTTTCTCGAAAAAAACAATTTTTTGGACGCTCGTCAGAACGGGTTTCGAAGACATAGAAGTACCACTAACACATTACATGACATCCAAGAGGAAATACATTCAACACTCGAAGCAAAACAAATGATGGGCCTCATAGCCCTTGGCATATCAAAAACGTATGATACTGCATGGCGCCCTTGTATTGTAAAAATATTGTCAAACATTATCTGTAAAGGTAATTTATTTAAATTTATACAGAATTTCCTTACCAAAAGAACCTTCCAGGTGAGGTGCAATGAAAAACTGTCAAAAATATAAGTTCAAAACAACGGCGTACCTCAAGGATCTACACTTTCGGTATCGCTATTCCTATTAGCAATTAATGTTATACAACCTCCTGTTAAGTGCATACTATTTGCCGACGACTTCAATATATTCTGCAGAGGCATCAATACAAATAGAACTATAAAATACCTGCAGAATGCAATAACTGCACTACAAGACTGGTCACTTGTCTCAGGTTTCTCTTGAAAAATCACAATGTACCTTCTTCACTAATAAAAGAAATATTGGTAACACCACTATATCTATGAACAATATCCCCTTACCAATAAAAAAACTCCATCAAAATATTAGGCATACTGTTTGATTCAAGAAACACGTGGATACCGCATCTCAAGACTATCCGAAAGGACTCACTACTAAGAATGAATACGCTAAAATGGCTCACCCACAAGTCGCGGGGAAGTCACTCATCTAGTCAATTACAAATTTATAAAGCACTCATTCTATCCAAACTCGAATACAACTCATATCTGTTCATAAAAGCTAGGGCAACAGCACTTAAAATGATTGATACCATTCACAACACAGGGTTAAGACTCGTTACTGGGGCCTTTCGCTCCAGCCCGATTCCCAGCGTGCTTAATACAGCCGGAGTAGCTCCACTCGACATCAGGAGAGTACATACCGCAGCCAAGTTTTTATCCTTTTAAGGGCGGAAAAACTCCTCTCTGCCGAAGCTTTACTAATTGGAAAACTAGCTAAAATCTTTAAAAGTATATGTATTGTTGGGAACATATTTTTATCACAATGTTTTAATGATTTTAGAGCTGTATTAGGAATATCACTTTTTTCTCTATTCCAATATTCTTTCCACCAAATCATTTCTCCTTGCAACTTCCCAATAAAAGCTTCTCTATTTGCAAATCTGCCATTCAATCCATGTATATTTAGAAACTGGTTCCAAATAGATTCAAATATTTTTACTGTGTTTTATTGTATTTTAGAAATTAATATTTTTGGCACAAATATTCCAAGATTATACACGCCCAATGTTTCTTCTGTGAATCTGGATTTCATATCAGTTATCATAAAATCTAAAAACGGAATGTATACTGTTACATGGAAATAGTCTTCTACATTTGTAATCTCTGGATTCTGTCTGTGATGCTGTATTGATAATGTTCTTGGCTTTTTTACAGTAATCTCTAATTTATCCATTTGTTCCACAGCCTTGAAGTACAAATCTTTAAACTCTGTTTTGCCGTCTAATCTAAGTTTATTTAAAATTTCAATAGTTTTATTTATGTAGTTAACTGCAGACTGTTAATCAACATTTTTTTTTTGCAAAATTACGCTTAATGGTTGTGTAATTGAAAATATATGTGAAGCTACATAAAGAGTGATGACGAATTCGCAGTCAATTGAATTCAATAAGACCTTGGATTTACTAGACGATTCTCGATCATTTTATGAAGAGAATCCATAATTTCCGAAATTTCAGTCAAAAATTGCGTCACTGCTGTATGCCTCTCAATCCACCTAGTTTCACAAATTGACTGTAATGAGGAATGTAGAACAGATTGTAGTATAAAATTTCGTTTCGAACTTCCATGAAAAAATGAAATAATTTCCTTAATTTGTCCAAAACTATTCCGAATGGACTGACTTTGATAACCTTTAGAAATTGGAAGATTCAAGCCATGGTTAAAACATGGACATCTGACAGCACTGGGTATCTTTTCCAGAATACTTTTTAATGCACCACACACCTTTGAAGCCATAACACTACAGCCGTCAGTAGCAATACCAACGCAGTTATTCAAATCCAAATTTAAGTTGTTTATTAATTTTAAAACGGGTTTTCAATACTTTACTATTTAATTTTGATTCAAATTCAGAATTTTCGAAATTATAACTGTGTGGATCCATAAAACCAAGGAAATTTTCTTGAACAGTGTGATCCTCATTAATATACCGTATGACAAAACATAATTGAGATGTATGTGACATATCGGTTGTTTCGTCGAACATAATACTATAATATGGAGACCACTTTACTTTGTTTAAAATATTATCAATAATTAATTTACTGCATATTAAAATAATTTTATTTTGAGTAGTTTTACTTATATAAGTAGCTTTGGAACTTGTATTTTTTAAATGGTTTTCTAATTCCATATAACCAGACTCAATTCGAAATTTTAATATTTCTCGAAACTTTCCTTCGTTCAGTTTTGGAGATAATTCATTATTTTTCAACAAAGGTCCGTCATCCCGATGACCTCGAAAAGGTATATTCTGGCGAGCTAAAAATAATACAGACTTAATAATGTGGCGCAACCTATTTCTATTTTCTGTTATTTGTTTCAAATGGTTAGAATCTATCTGACTAACAACTTCAAGAGAAGGGTTTTCGTATGTCCTTATAAAATCCTGCGCTCTCAAAACTGATTCAATATGATATTTAGTTATTTCGTGGGAGTGATGATCTCCTGTGTTTCCCATTAAATGTTTAAAATTTTGTAATGGTTTATTTACTAGTAAACCAAGATTCATATAATTTTTTTTCCAGTATCATGACCACCAGAGTAAAAAAAGTACAATTTTTACAATATAGTCAATTTTTGCTTTCTGAATATATAACCCATGGATACATATCCAAATGTTTTTGTTGTAAATGTCGATGTATTTCTTTTCCTTTCAAATTTTGTAAAGAAAATGGATACACATAACTCTTTGGTGCAACCCAATGGTTTTTTAATAAATTATATCGAGTGTGATCATCTATAATTTGCTGTATGTATAAGCCAATTTCATATGTTTTAATTATTATTTCAGTATCATTATTAGAAGCTAGATGAGTCAAATTTGTAGAACTTGACGGTTCTAAACTACCAGTTAAAGACGTAAAAACTGTGGATGTTGATGATAATAATGTTTCGTCGATATAATTTTGATCAATTATTGAATTATTACTTTTTTTGAAGTAAGATAGTATTGAAGAACCAGAAGAACCAGAAGAACTCAATTTTCTTTTTTCACTCATTATTCATTTCTAGAAAAAAAATTTTTTAAAACAGTTTTCGTGGTGGAAAATTACGCACTATTTTAATCGATATTCGATATGTGCTTCGATAAAGATGCATTTGTGATGTCCACTGATAATTATAAATTATTTATTTAAAAAAAGTTAAAACCTGATATTACGAACAAAAACTGAAAAACGTATTTTTAAAGAGATTATTATTACTTACAGCAATAAAATTCCAATTTCAAAACTATAACAATGTAAAAACTAACTCCGATTATTGAAATTATTATAATATTTACCTGCAGTAGCAGTAGTCAGTAGTAATATGTTTCTTTGGTGTAGTGTACAAATTCTACTGGAACGTTGTATGTGGAGTGTACGGACACGAATGCGCTGTCTCATACTCGACAGTGTCGATATATTATGATGGTATTATTATAGTATTAATACAGGTTATTATCGTAATATCGTTATTGGTTATATACAGTAATACATATCAAAACAAAATTATTTTGTTATGACTTATGAACGTTACGACGGTCGACGACGCCAGACGCACTAGCGGCAACCAACGAGGCGCTATAACCATTTTAATACGGCATAATAATTTAAAAATAGATCGACTTAGTGACAGATGTTATCGAAAAATCGTAGAATAATATAGCAAGTAATATTATATAAATTTGTATGTGTACTGTGTCAAACCGCCTCAAACCCCATAAATAACCGTTTGTAGATAAAATGTTGCACCTCGGATGCCGTGATCACTATTATAAGAAAATACAAATTGACAATTTTAAATGGAAAAGTAATTAAATATTCATGGTAAATATAATTATGACCCTTTCTCAATAACTTGCATGAACAAAATTTTAATCACAATTACAAAATGGAATATTTAATACTTTTTTTTGTGAATGGGGGGGGCAATTGCCCCTATTGTCCCCCCTTGTATCCGCCCTTGCACCTTAATATGGATACCCAGCTACAATAAAATTCTGGGAAATGAAAGAGCTGACGAAAAAGCACGCCAAGCAAATAGCAATAACTTCCACTAATGGCATTAGACTTAATTGTTTTACCCTACACGACGCCAAATTCATTCCACACATGGCCCTCTCCACCAGACTCCTCAAGGAAAATGGAAACCTCAATCAACAAGTATCTGATGAAGTAGGAAGACCCACCCTTATGTGCCAGCTGCGGTACTCCTCTCTCAATCAAACACATCATAACTGAATGCAGGGACGGATTGGAACTTCGGACCAGCCCGGGAATATACCATTTTACCGGCCCACTATTTGTTGGGTGTTGGGGGGATGATTAAGTGAGGTTTGTATGGGCAGATATAAGATACCTAGTTGTTATCAGATGTAATTTATAAAAAAAAATCACTTTTCTTTTTTTTAAAAGAGAATTCTCTTTTTGTAATTCTTCTATAATTTTATCTGAATCTAATAGTGTTAATTTCTGTTTTTCAATGGCCATTAACATGAATGCTTCTAGTTTTGGATCCGAAAGTTGACTACGAAGTCTTGACTTAATGTTTTTTAAGAAAGAAAAAGATCTTTTATATGATATTTGGGTTGATAGTAGAGTAAGTACATATTTGTGTGCTAAAAATGAAATAAAAAAAATGATGTAAGGCTCTTAGAAGCCTTTGCTTCTAAAAGTAGTTTTTTTTTATCGAATTTTTTCAACTCCTCCTTTTTTATTACAGTCTGATCCATGCATTTCCATTTTATTTTATAATTCACAACTATTAGGTACTATTGTAATATAAAATATTTTATCAAATATTCGTAGTTAAGTACTTAGTAATTAAATTGTAAAATTAACCAAATTGTGGTGAACTGCTGACTGCTGAGTGCTGAGGTTTTGAAGGACGATTGATATTTTATATAAATAATATAATTTATAAATTAAAAATAAAAATATTCTTATTGAACGACTTGCATCATTCAAAGCCGTCGTCATTACCCGCAACCCGCCGGCCTATCTGATCGACAACTCGAATAACCAATTATTTTACTGTCCACGGACCCCGGCGGTTGATTTTTTGTATAGTTATTGTTATTTCTAATATTTCTTATTGATAATTAATATTATTATTCAGTTCGGTTGTAGACATTATATTATTACAATTTACAGCGCTTTACGTTATAATATTATAGACTGTTATTGTGTAATATCACTAATATCATTGATTTTAGAATGAATAATTTAAAATCAACGGTAATATTTATTAGGTTATATTTAAGTCTACTTTTCTGCTATTTACTTAGTACGCGACCCATCGGGGATTTCCCGATTTCCCTATGGCCCAATCCGTCCCTGTTGTCCTTTTATATGAAACGGATAGACGAGAAGCAGGCATTTCAAACATTCTGTCAGAAGCTTCCACCCAGACAACATAAGACACATGATAACCTTTATTACTAAGTCCAACCTCATCAATAGTTTTTAATATGTAACTTATATAACATGTAATTAATTTAGAGTTAAACTCTTTGTTGCCAATGGCCATAGTTGCCGAATGGCCCGAATGTTGAATGTTTGAACCTTGTTCAAATAAAAAATAATAATAGCACCTCATCTTATTCCTCTCAACGACACATGTAGTAGCCACTAGCCAGACCACTACAGTATATTAAATTTCAATATTGATGTACGATAGCGGATAAGCAACATAATGTGTATATACTTTCATTTTTTCATTCCAAACATTTTATTTGTGTACACAGCTAGAAATAAAACTGTACATTTTTTACATTTACAAAATCAGTGTAGCCCTACTCAATAGTAAAATTTATCCGAGAAAAGATGTTTTTAACAATTGGAAGCAGGTAAGTAGACACCTACCTATTTCGTATTTTCGTCCTGCATCTTTAAGTGTAGACCTCTTTTAGATTTTTGTTATTTCTTATGTAGAAAATACTGATTCCAGTGGCGGCGCGAGAAGGTTTTTGTGAGACAAATGTCTCACAGCTAAAAGGGGTGGTGGGTGGGTACCGAGTAGGTACCTATATAGTGGATAGTCAGTTCTGAAAAATATTGAGTGACACAACGTATAAAATAAATAAATATATAAATAGTCATATTCATATAGACATAGAGTATAGACTATAAAGTATAGACATAAACATGGTTTATAAATAATGTAAAATAAGTGTATTGAGAAAAGAATCATTCAATGATTTATTAATAAAGCAGTATTTATATAATTTATAAAAGTTATTTTTATTGTAGTACCCGTAACATGAATTTTTAGAAAGGCTAATTTGATATAGAATTATAATGGGGGGTCTGGGGGCATAGCCCCCCACGGCTCTGTGCAAAATAAAAAGGTGTGTGCTGCAACTAACATTTTCTTGCCTCACTGTCGAAAAAGTTTGCGCCACCACTGACTGATTTACATATGTATATGATATTTTTTGTGTCTCGAGGTATTTGATACACAACACTAGGTATGTTTAAGTATAAGAACTTATTATAAACTCATATGACATGATTGCACATTTGTATATTCTATAAAAAACAAAAGCATGGTTTTATTTCACGAGGAATTACATGAGAAGGAAAAACGGCTTGACATTAATTTGAGCGTGTGTGTTGGATCGTCGTTACTCTCAGTGTCGCCAACACCACAATATTGAAAAAGGAAGCAACATTTGCAATGCTTTTTTTCTCACTCCGGGGTATTCGTTTTGTAGAAAAATCCAAAATTAATCATTTTGAAACTTATAAAATTTAGATTTTAACGTTGTATTTTATGATATTTCTAAAAAATGTTCTTGATCCGTAGAAGTTAAGTTTGAATTTTGAATATTTTCTTCTTCGTATGATTCATACAATGAAACTATCTACGGTGTCTTAGTCGTTGAAAGTGATAACTCTGTGAAGTGATAACTCTTTAAACTTCGAGAAAGTATCAACAATACATTTTTCGTATATTACATTTTTCAAACCTATTTTATTGATTAATGCCATGCTTAAATGCGTTATTGATTCGTTGACTGAAGAAAAGCATGGAAAATCATCCTTTTTTTGAGTATGCTAAACATAAAATAATTTTTTTAATAAAAATAAATACCTATTCGATTTTAGGATTTTTTCAATTCCGGATTACGTCCTCGGTTTTTGCACAACACGTTTGACTTGCATCTTCCTACGGGAGATTTTCATAGGCGGGGATTGGGTATGGCTTGGTGAACCACTGAATCGGCACTTGATGCACCACAGGACGGCGGGAACGGTCGCGGACGTAAGCTTCGTTCAACTGCCGAAAAAGCAAGAGACAGCCGGCGGGCGGTGACACGACTTTGCGGTAAGATCGAAACGTCGGTCTGGATGATAGGGAGGGAAGATCCGGAGATATCATCGGTTCGCCTTTAGGTAAAAGTAGTGGCAGCAAACCGGATCCAAGTTCAAACAAGTATAATATTCCTAACTTATCACTAATTTAAAACACTAAATTGTGTAATATTTCAATACAAGTCGTTCCTGTAAAACTATATACAATGTACAAAACAAATGTAAGTTTAGAATCACATGGTATACATTTAAAATAACAACAACTATGATATATATATAAATACATATAGAAATACATATGATATATATATATATATACATAGTTTAATACACAGAACAAATTGATGATGATCCAGTATCATAATATAATTTACTTGTCGTATTATATAAATATTGTTTGTTAATATTTCCTGTTACAAATGTTGTATTATATTTTCAACAGTTAAGGGGGCTGTAGCACTACAATTTCTAAGGAGTTATGTATAGGCAATTATCTACATTACTAGTCTAGTGGCGTGTATGTGTGTGCAAAGTAAATGAATGTTAGTGTGCGTGAGCCGTTTCCACGAAACTTCAAACAATAGTAATGATAAATTGATAACGACGCCCAATATAACTGCATAAACCGGATAATATGACAAGTCGCCACGGCCGCCGTAATTTATATTTTTACGCTAATACTTAAATACGTAATCATTTTTTTTATTATTATTTAATATTTATTAATTATTTTACATAGATTATGAACCAAAAAATGAATTGACCATCGTGATAAATGATTCATAATAACATTTTTAAAAAAGGGTTTTAATAAATGTAACTTTCAATTCTCGTAAATATTATATTTATTCATTCAATATTAGACTGTCTTTTAAAACTTCGGATAAAAAGTAATCTATAAAAAACGTTGTTAGTTGAGACTTCATATTTTTATTCCAGAAATCATCGTCTTTTTTAATTTTTTCATACAATAAACCTGTATACAAATAACTTAATTTAATATAAATTTCAATTAGAATCTTATTAGTTCAAAATAAAATAATATTACCTTTAGGTGTCCAGATACAAAAATAACAAAACATTTTGCGTGTTATGTGTAGTTGACCCTGGACTTGGTAAAAGTAATTATCGTTTCTTTTTAGATGTAGTTGACCGTTTTCAATAGTGCAACTTTTTATTTTTTTCATTAAAATTCCTTCTTCTGGAGTAAAACTCTTGGCAGACGCTGGACATTTAATTTCGACGAGACTATCATTGTCTATTAGCCCATCGGGAGACGTCGCTAAAAATTGTAAATTTGCATCTACAAATAAACCTGCATTTTCAATTTTTTTTCCAATTATTTTCTCCAACTCTTCTTTAGCCATGTCTTCGTGTGCAATTCCATATCGTGTAGCAGCATTGCCACTAAAAGTCCCATACAACATTTCTTTTATAACTTTTTCGCGAGACGTGGTTTGGCGCAGTTTACATAATTTACCAAACACTGAAGCAGTAAGTCTAAAAAATAAAAATGTATACATTTTAAAACATTTAAATCTCATATTATAAAATTATTATTTTGTTAATAAACTATGAAATATCTACCTTTTTTTTCGCTCCAAATGCCATTCATCACATTGATGTTGTCTTTTAGTTCTCATTTCTAAGTCCATGATTTGTTTTTCAGTTAATTTTAAATTTTCCATGAACTTATTTTTTAACTGTTGAATCTCAACAGCAGTAAGTTCAGAAAATGGATCATGAGATACATTTCCATAGTTTTCATCTGGTCCTCCTATTGTTGTACTCTTTTTTCTATTTTTTGGTCCACTAAAAAGACATCGCCGTCGTCTTCGAGTTTCAGCTGTTACTATATGCCTTTTAATTTACATTTTTGTAAATCTCCCTGGGCTTTTATTTGTTACATGTTTATTAAACAGAGAAAGACGGTTTGGTCCTGAATTATATGCAGTGACTGCTGTGTTACACCTTAGTTGATAAGACCCTTTCAATGAAAAATTTACGCGTTTCCCTCCAACAAATTTGGTTAAAATTGAGTTATAAAGTTCAGCTGAATTGTTATTATAACCATACATTAAACTTTCGGTATGATAAGTTAGAAGATTTCGGGCTCTACAAATATCATCCCAAACACCAAATATTTTTAAATCGGGTACAATGTTTTCTTCTCCTAAAAAATAATATATAATACAAACGTCAAGAAAAACAAACAATAATTTAAGGGAAAACTGAGATTGTGGTTTTTATTGTAACTCTAAAAAAATAACCTTAGATGAATCACATAATGATTATATTAGCAACTTATATGCACCACAATATATTCGAAATACTGCAGCGATTATTTTTTAACTATTTATAGGCATAAGAAAATTTCGAGTTTTATTAGTTTTTTTAAAAAAATATTTTTGCTTGGTCAAAAAACTTGAAAATGTAATATAACTGTCCTCGTAAATTGTTGTAATTGATCATTAAAATAAAGCTGACCATAAATCTACAATAATTTCTTATGAGGGCCTAAAGTTAAAATTTATCAAAATCACGAAAATTGGCATTTTATTTTGAGTTGAATGTATAACAATTTTTCTATTTATATCTAAGCTTTCAAAATATATTACAAAAATTCTCCTTAAATTTTCCTACATTTAACAAATAATACAAATAAGTTTACTGGGAGGTCAAGTTCATTTTTTACGAGCGTTTGAAGTTAGATATTGTATAATCACCCGTAAATTAACAAATTCTCATACAACGATTTTCTTATTTTGTCGTTATTAAATTTTAAATTTTTTTAGTTTTTTATTCTATTAATCATAAATGTCATACAAACATAAACATACAGTACACAAATAAAAGTTACATACCTTTCTTTTGACCTTCACAAAAATACGATTGGCATTTAGTGTGGTCTCCGAATACATGATTAGGTCCGTTTGTTATATCTGCTTTGAGTAAAGCCAATGTTGCTTCATATGTGCGATCTGTTTGTTCAAGTCTTCTATATTTTATCGCTTCAGTGATAGCATACCGAAGCCTAAGTAAACGATTATGAACTACTTTCCGATAACAACCAGGTATGACGTCTCCTTTATCGTTTTTTCTTTTCCCACTTATATCTCTAAGCCGATTTATGTAGTTACGTAGTAAATGATTAGTACATTCTACTTTTTTTATAACAATATTTGTACCATATGGCTTTTCTAATCTTAAACGCTTCATAATACTACTGTCGCCATCTCCTTTTTTT